ACAGCTTGAAAAGATTTCCTTATTGGCATGCGGAGCAATGCAGGAACATAAAAGTATTAATTTTTTGATGCCTCTTTTGGGGATCCAAAATCGGTCGTTGGTTTTTACATGAAGCTCCTGATAACTCTTGGCATATAGTATAATAATTTAATCAATACATTGTACTTTCTTTTCAGAAAGCAAAAGCTGAAACCCCCTAAATATAATACAAGAGCCAAACACACTGCTAAATAGAGTTGGACTCTTTCGACCGCAGCAATGGCGATACAATTAGAAAGCTCTAAAGCAAGTAAAATTACAGCAGCTAGCAGTAGTGAGGACACTACCCAATCACAATCACTGGATATCGACAACCAACGCCCAGCGCCTGACTTTACCACATACATAAAAGACAAATGGAAAAGACATAGTGCATCGGAGCAAGCGAGTCAAATAATAGCAGGTGGTTTAGCTGCCGCCATTACGCGTACACTCTGCCAGCCACTAGATGTCCTAAAAATTCGTTTCCAACTGCAAGTTGAACCTCTAAAGGAGCACGTCAATCAGCAATCAAAATACACAAGTGTCGCGCAAGCTCTCCGTACTATTTACCGTGAAGAAGGTGTACTCGCTTTCTGGAAAGGTCACAATCCAGCTCAGGTGCTTAGCGTAATTTACGGCATTTCACAGTTTTGGACTTATGAGCAACTCAGTTTGGCCGCTAAACAAACAGTCTACCTCAAAGATCATGCTAACTTAGCGAGTTTTCTTTGTGGTTCCGCATCCGGTGCAGCAGCAGTAATACTCTCAACACCTATGGATGTAATACGCACGCGTCTCATAGCACAGGATCAGTATAAGGGCTATAGGAATGCAACGCGTGCAGTAACAGCGATTGTTCGCAATGAGGGTGTACGTGGCATGTACCGCGGACTTAATACGGCGCTCCTGCAAATCACACCATTAATGGGTGCAAATTTCATGCTCTATCGACTTTTTTGCAAATCAGCTATGCAATTCTACGAAGTAGAACAACGAAGGTATGTGTATCGTATACCGTTAAAAAAGAACTTGAGTATAAAGTATGTGAATGCTTTTTTTTTATTAGCGCATTGCCTACATGGGTGCTGCTGTGTTTGGGTGGCTCTTCGGGTATGTTATCCAAGTCTCTGGTATATCCCTTTGACTTGTTGAAGAAGAGGCTGCACATACAGGGGTTTGAATCCAATCGTCAGACATTTGGCGAGAACATACGTGCACATGGAGTTTATAGTTGTCTGAGACAAACTGTACAACAAGAGGGTCCAGCGGGTTTATACAAAGGCATGGCGCCAACACTTTTAAAATCTAGTATCACAACGGCTCTATACTTTGCTATTTACGATAAACTAAAGGAAATACGTTGGTTTGCCTAACTAGCAATTTATAAAGGATTAAACTTAAGACTTGAATATATATTACTTTTTATGTTTGTAAGTATGTACGAGTCCTTTAATACGCTAAAGATATTCCGATAATGCACTTGACGATTTTACGTATATAAGGAAGAATACGCGCATTCATTCTGTAGCTAAAACATTACTTTTCCAACATATTAACATTTTCACTTTCATGTATGTTTTCTACGAATTTTAAAATATTTATGTATGTAAGTACGATGCTCCAAAAAAGCCTTAATTGATTTTAAGAAAATTAAAAAGTAAATGGTTGATATCATGATACAAATAGTTATATCATGGTTGATATGTACATATGTATGTATGTCAGTAATCGTTTTTATATGTATGTATGTAAATAACAAAAGCAACTTGTAAGCGGAAGGCAGACGCACAATACACTTGCCGCGTTTATATATTTTCAGAAAATACATTTTTTTATGAAATCCAATTTACCTTTATTGTGCTCGCTTATTTGCGGCATGGAACGATAGTAAATGCATATCTATCATGCCGGCATATTTCCCCTTTGCAAATATATCAAAAAATTCACAATTTCCAGGCATTAAAATTACATTCAAAAAAATTTAAGTAGAATCTTTCCCTTAATGGACTTTTTATTTAGTAACCGATTGCGATATTAGCTGGCGCTTCAGATAAAACTAAACAACCGCAAAAAATTAAAAAAAAATATAATAAAATTCTTCTACATTTTTAAGATGGTTTCGTTACTGTTAAATTAAAAACTTTCACTTTAGGTCTTCCGACCAGTGTTGCCATTTTAGACGTTTTCCGGCTAGATTTAGCCGGTTGCGATAGCAAACAACCGGAGAAGTTTCGGTTTAGCCGGCAGCCGATTTGTTAGCCGTTTTGTAAAAAAATATTAGCCGGTTTTGCTATTTGCCTTGTTTTCTTAACATTCAAATATATCTGTTTCCATTTTTGATTAAGCGACCCAAAATCTGTTAGAAATAGCTACTAGCATACGGCTTAAATTTAAGTGGGAAGTTTTATTCGTAATTGTTTCACTGTTTGCTTAACACGCGTTTGTGTTCGGATATAGTGCCAAAACATGGAATAAATATTACAGGTAGATGTCCTTAATTGCAAAACATCATTGTTACCCACTCCTAAAGGTTTAAGGTGAAGGAAAAATTGATATTTTCAAGCGCTATGTACACATATGTATGTATTTTTATAAACAAACTTTTTTTGAATCACCATTAGTTGAAACAGTTTAGCCCTTTTTAGCCGTTTTTTTTTTGCCAATTTAGCCGGTTGGCCAAACGAGTTCTGGCAACACTGCTTCCGACTCGAAACTACTTCAGCGTAAACAAATCATACATTAAAAACAGCTGGGCAATGTAAACAGAGAGCGAGTATACTCTCTAATTTTTGTTTACTTCAAAAAGACGTGAGAAAAGGGAGAAAGGAAGAGTATTGTGCTGAAGTTTTTTAAAGCCGGCGCTGGCTAATCCAGAAATATAAAAGATGGCAAAAAAACGAATACATACGCAAATTAAATTTTTAAGGCAATGATAAAAATTGTTACAGTAAAATAAAAAATCAAGTATAAAATATTTAAATTGGTGAAATTCACAACACTTCATAACTTACACACAACAATTGTTCCGCGACGCCTCAGACAACTAAATTGAACGCCGTCAAATTTAATGTATCCTACCGCATTAGTTTGAGCTCACGTTCATTCGAGTTTGGGATTCCCAAATTGTACATATTTCATTTTTTGCTCGCCTGTATATATATTCGCAAAACATTCTACTATTACATATCCGCACATATCTAAACAATAAAAATTTGCACAAATTACGACAATCAATTTTCCACCGATATTGTTGTAAAGTGGAGTTGGAAGCTGCTAGCAGAAATACTTGAGCCCTAAACAGTATTTGATAATCCTCATTTATGGATCTTGTTGCGGTAGCAGACGCGGAGAAATATGCACAAGAACAACAAGCTGGAACCAATAAAAAGCTTGAAGAAGCTACAGAATATTATGATGATAATTCATCTGAATTATACTATTCAGAAGAATCTGTAGACGATGATCCCACTGGTTTTGGCTTGTACGGTATAATAACAACGGCCCAGCTGAGAGAAGCACTGGAGGAATCAATAACTACTAATTTATATCCAGAAAACCCTTCCAACTTGGAAAAACTACTTCAGCAAAACTATGCCGATCGCATAGTTTACTTGGAAACTACGGAAACAATTTCAACATCCGGCTTCCCATATATAATTATGTTTCACAGCTTTAAAGAACATGCAGCCAAACTACTGGGCTACATCGATATACTTTTCCAGTCTGCACAGCAATACGGTGACGACATATGCTTTGGAATAACAGACTTTGAAAACTATGAAGCCGTACTCAATTACCGACCCGGTTCCGAAGTATATTGGAAGCGGTACAAAAAGACTGGTTTTAACAAACATCGACGACCCGATGTATTCGCAGTAGACACAGATAATCGCATTTATCAATTTTTAGGTGCCCTAAACGAAGACAGCTTAAAGCAATTCAGTCTAAAATTATTGAATGATGAATTGTTTAAAACTGAACCACTGCCGGAAGACGATGGGGAGGGATTCGTTCGTGTGGGTGTAGCAGAAAATTTTGAGCAATTGGTGCTCAAAAGTGATATTGATATACTCCTAGTGCTGTATGGTAGCAAATGCCCCTGCTCACGAGAACTGATGCCAATTCTGGATGAAGTGGGAAAACTCCTACAGGATGAAGATATCATTGTAGTGAAAATTAACGCAGATTTGAATTACTTGCCACTAAAATATTATGCGTGGTACTACCCAACTATATACTATGTAAGGCGGGACGATAAAAACAATTTGATAGAATACACCGGAGGGACGCGCACAGTGAACGACATAATCAAATTCATCGCCAAGCATGCGACAAACGATCTAGAGGAATACAATAGAAATGGAAGACCGAGGTTTGATTAGGAAGCATTTTAATTATATTCAAAAGGTTTAAAATATTTTCCGATTGAGTGCTGTCGGTTCTTTGACTGCACAAAAACAGCTGTTGCTGACAGCAAAGATCAAAAAACAACGAATACGGGGATAATCAACCACAGTATACGGCCGCATCGGCAAAATTAAAATTTTGTACCTAAATATGCATAAAATCGAAATACGTAATAAAATCGCCATATATCTCGATCATCGGGAATTAATTAATAAAATATATAACAACGATATTGCTGAACTGGAGGAGAAGTATGAATTACATACTGAACTCTTTCACTTTCATGAACGAAGAATAGAAGTTGAGGATTCCCATACAATTCAGCAACCAGAGACTAAAGCCGGAAACAGTAAGCTTGCAGAAAAGTCCAGTAAAAAAAGGAAACGAAAATTGAATAAAATGGCAGTAGTTGAGGAATTACAAAAATTAAAAACGATTGTCGAAGATATTTTAGGACTCGTGAAAGTACAGCAGCTAATCAATCGTGTGGAAAGCCAGAATGGCAGTGATTTACCACGTTATTGGGAAGAGATATCCACCAAAGACTTCCCCACATTTAACGGCGTTAATACCACTGCCACATACAAGCGTTCCCGCTTTGGTGAGCACTCCTACCTTATACCACCGCATTGTAAATTCTTTAATTGCGATGTCATGGAATTGTCCAAATTGCTGCCCCAATTAATGCCGAATTCAAAACGGTTCGATTTGATTGTATTAGATCCGCCTTGGCGCAACAAGTACATACGCCGTCTAAAACGTGTTCGTGAGGAGCTAGGCTATCAGATGCTAAGCTCAGAGCAGCTGCTTCAAATGCCCATTAGACAGTTAAAACATGAACGAAGCATAGTTGCCATTTGGTGTACGAATTCCAAGGAGCTTCAACGGGCTATTGTAGAACAATTACTGCCAGCATGGAACTTAAGATTGCAGCACACCATACATTGGATCAAGGTGAACACGAGCGGCCAATTAATCGGCCCAATAGATGTGAGCGGTCAGAAAAAACAACCATTTGAGATGCTCTACCTAGCATGCCATATGGATAGCTCTGCCGAATTTTGCACTAGTTTGCAGCAAGTCTCTGCAATTTTGAGTGTGCCAAGTGTTATACACTCACACAAGCCACCGCTTTTACCATTGTTGAGTGGTTTACTTCCTCAAAAGCCTAACTGCTTAGAGATATTTGCGCGTTATTTGCAACCACGATTCGTTTCAGTAGGATTAGAAGTGCTGAAATTGATGGATGAACGACTTTACAACTATTGCGACACAAGTACGGGCAATGCAGCGATAATAGGGTCTACGTAATCAGAAATGGACGGTAGTTACTCCATTAACATTCTCCCAAAAATCGGTTACCACAACAGTATGTAGTACAGGCTGATGAAAATAAAATTATCTATTTTAAGTATTTTTTTTTCTTTTATTGTTAAATGTTAATGAGAAAGCGTAAATTGTAATTGTGTAAGATCTACGTGGCCCTTTGAACCACGTAACTAGCGTTTATGCTGCGTTTGAAAACTATCGTGTACATACTTTTACGATTCTCTTACTTTAACCTCTATTTAAGGTATTCAAATGCAAATTTAAAAGAACCAATAAACTGATAAATTTGATATAAAAAACACTAATTAATGGGTGTAAAATAGATTAACGTTTTAGAATATTGTTCCAAGCAAATGAAATGTTTAGTTCCGTTATATATTAAATGTTTGCGACATTGAAGTTGTAATACGATTTAAAGACTTATTCCTTTGTTCTTCACTTTATTCTTGGCCCTGTGCAGCGGCGGCGGGGTTCACAATATCATCTCCTCTCTTTTTTGAACCGGAGACAATATCGTCAATACGCAGCAGCAAAATTGCAGTCTCCACAGCAGTCTTATAAGTCTGCAGTTTCACAGCCAATGGCTCCCAAATACCTTTTACATTCATATCAACAATTTCACCGGATTCACCATCGATACCCCAAGCGCAAACAGCATCACCTATAATAAAAAATTAGCAAATTGATAACTTCTAAACGTTATTACCTATTCGCCTCTCACCTGAATGGGAAGCATGTTTTGCACGCAGAGCGGTTAAAGTACGTATGGTATTAGCACCACAGTTCTGTGCCAGAGTTCGAGGTATGATTTCCAAAGCATGTGCCACAGCGGTGTACGGGCCTTTGAGCTGTTTACGCGATAGCAATTGTGATACAGCCATTTCGATGGCACCACCTCCAGCTACCAAACGAGGCTCTATAATCAAATTACGAGCTACATGAAGTGCATCTTGCAGATTACGTTCTGTTTCATTTAAAATATCTTTTGAAGCACCGCGCAGCAGAATAGTACAAGCCTTCGGATCTTTGCAGTTGGTTATAAATGTGAAATATTCATCTCCAAACTTCTTGATCTCAAAAAGTCCGGCGCCAGTACCGACATCTTTCTCCGTCAATTCTTCTGTGCGGTTCACAATTGTAGCTCCGCAAGCACGTGCAATACGCAGATTGTCTGTTTTGCGCAAACGGCGTATAGCAGTAATGCCGGCCTTTAACAAGTAGTGCTGCGCCAAGTCAGACACACCCTTTTCCGTGAACACAATGTCTGGTTTGACTGCAATGATGTCAGCGCAGATACGTTGTACAAACTCTTCTTCTATTTGGAGCATGCGTGTGAAATCCTGCTCACCAATGATTTCGACGTTCGTCTGAGATTCGCCTTTCTTGTACTCAAGTGAGCAATCCAACAGCACAATGCGTGGATTTTCGATGTAACGACGCATCTTGGGATGTGTAACGTCTTTGTTGATCATGACACCTTTAAGTACACATGACTCATCGATACTGCCACCTGGAATTTTCTCAACTTTGGCGTATCTAAAATTATATAGAATTACGTGAGCTTATAAATTCAAAATGTATTTAAATATAAACATACCGCTTTATGTCAACCTCTAGCCGGCCATTTTCATTTAACGCAACAGTCCCAACGGCGTCCAACGCGATTTTTACAGCTAAATCAGACCACTTTCCAATAAACTTTGTGCCCACGCATGCCTTAACAACTTCAGCCATTTTATCCTTGTTATTTACATCCAGTGGAACACTCAGGTCCGTTTGTAAGTGCTTAATGATATCTTCCAATGCCTCACGATACGCACGAATTATGACAGTAGGATGAATCTGTTGCTGCAAAAATTGCTCAGCAGCAGCTAGCATCTCACCAGCCAATACAATTACAGA